TAAAGCAGGCATATTACTGAGCAAATGACTTACAATGAGTCTATGGCACACAGACAAATGGCAAAGCACAAATCCTAAGTAATTATTTAAATATATATTGCATTTGCATAACAGTAGATAAAAGGTGCTCTGGATTGAGACAGTAAGGAAGATAATGAGGGCTATGAAGAGAGCACCTACATACATTTCAAGTGAGACATCCCAGTCTCCCTCATCGTGGAGAGCATGTGCTGTTAAAATGCACTGGGGATCACTGCCCTTTCTTGCCTGTGTTACACTGAACAAGATTCCCCACATCATTCACTTCTCAAAAAAAGAGGAAAAGAATAATTCTGAAATGCTGGTAATCAGCCTGAAATAGAACATCATAAAACAAAAGTATAGTTTTAGAATTTGTTTTGTTTTGTTTTCTTTTACCAGAAAAAGAGGCTCACTTTCAAGTCACAGGGGGCAGTGTTTACTGTACTACACAACCACAAACATCAAAGCCCTTCATTGCCAATGCATAATTGCAGGCTACAAGTTAGATACAGATTTGATGCATTTCAGCTGTGTGGATGAATGCAAACCACAAAGCACTGGCTTCTGCGATGGCAGAAGAAAGGACACAGACTTTCAGTATTAAACCCGGTACACAGCATCAGAGCTACCCAAACAAAATCAGACATTCGCTGCTACATCAATACAACTTCAAGGATGACTTTAAATGGGGTTTAAATGTATTCTCTCCCTTCTAGAGTTAATATGCATTCTCCCCACTGGAAAATTCAGATTGGCATGATTCAGATGAAATTTGGAATCGCTATGCAAAACAATTAAACAAATGAACTAACTGCAGCCCAGTATGTAAATATATGCCATGTGCCTTGAAGTTATTGCTTACTTCAAACAAGCATCATCACTGATGAGAACATCATCGAATCCAATCAGTCTAGCCACAGCAAAATGGCAATAGCGCTTCTGTTGCAGTAATAAGAACACCAACCACCTATACTTCATAGAGAGCATTTCCTGGAACATCATTTCAGAGTGCTGAGCAGTGGCAAACCAGTGTCTTATTCCCTTAGACTGTGTAAGATGAACAAGGGCTCACCCTGGCAGGTCTCTGCTGTTCTATCGATTTTCCCATATTATTACACAAAACGCAATGTGTTTCCACTGAGCTACAGTATACTAACGTATTAACGATAGTAATTTATTTAGGAATTTTCACCTCAGAAATGGGAGGTGAGTACTATGGCCTTGGGGAAATAAGTCCTCATCTGAAACCAGACTCTGGTAAATTTGCTCGAGGAAGCTGAGCCTGTATAATATTGTATATCTCTGGGATTAATGAAGACTGAGCAGAGAGGAACACAGAGGGCTCCTTAGAAGCTGTCTTGTACAGTAAACTTGAACCCAAGCAGAAGGGACTTGAGAAGGGGGTTGGGCTGCCCTGCTCAGAAATGGCAGGGTGGGGTCCAAACCCTTTTCAGCCCGGCTACAGGGCCTGCCGTCCCCCGCAGCGCAAGGCTGTTTGCTCGTCTCCGAAGAGCCCCGGCAGTAAAACGTCCATCTTGGAATCTCTGGAGAGCTCCTCGGAGTGAGACAAACGACCTTTCCACTGCGGACACTTTCGCACTGCTGACTCTTTCTGCTGCTCAGCAGAGAAGCAAGGCCACGCCGGTCGGAGCCGCTGTACTGAGCTGACAGACTGCTGGCACTGACGACCCCGAAACATCTCCCAAAAGACGAATGAAAGAACTACAGTAATGACATTTAAGATCCTGCAGTTGACTCTCGTCTTAAGAGGTGCAAGGAGAAAAATGAAATGGCAAAGACAGATACAGGCGTACCTATTCACTGATTATTAAACCAGTGACAAAAAGTCTAATTACAAACACTAGACATGAAAGTTTCTAATCCCTAGAGAAACCTTGTGTGTGGAATGGGCAGGTTATAAAAACAGCACATTTATTATGTACTCTGTACAGTTTATATTCCTGGCTTTTTGCCTGTGCACTCATTACTGTAGAAACTAGAAACACAAAGTTCATGTCTTCTGATAATAAAGCATTATAAACTTTGCACAAACCCAGTCACTGTAATCCAGCCTGGTAGTTTTTCTGGTCATTATCTGGCTTGTGTGATGAGCTGGTCTTCACTCTTTATTGAATATGTACATGAACTTAGCTCACATTCATCCACCATCAAAAACCCACTTATTGCTGGTAAGCCTTGCAGCAAACTGTAGTGTAGCGACTACACACAGACCCCAATTAACCTGACCAGCATGCCTTTAGGGGTTGGGAGAAAACCGGAGCACATGGAGAAAACCCATGTGGACACAGGGAAACCATGCAAACTCCACACAGAGGGTACCCCAGGACTCTAAACTGTGAAGCAGCAGTGCTGACTGCCACACCACCATGCCCCTACAACCGGGCAGACAGAAAACCCAGAAATCTATCCATCACAGGACTGTATTTCGACTAGTACGCTAACTAAAAGTGAGATCAGTTTTGGAAACCCTAAAACTTGACTGCTCTGGAATGTGTCCTCTTCCAGGTGTACACAGGCTGCTGCGGAGGCCGAGTCTCTTTTCCTCTCCTCGTGAGCTGCGCCGGCCCTCGTGGGCGCCTCGCTCGGCGCTGCTCGTAATAAGCAGGGACACTACTCTGGCTGCTGGGAACAGCGGCAGGTTGCGCAACTCCCCGAGGAACGTGACCAGCACAAGCACGAGGAGAGGAAAACTCCCCGATGCCAGCCCTGCCTTTCTCTTTCCGTTTCGCTATGAGGGGATCTTTCACCG